AAAAAAAAATCCGGTCTCCCTATTTCTATGGGGGGAAAAAAAAGGCTTCTGCTCGTGTTCTGAAGGGATCAAAAGGAGTGGCCTATGGACTTCAAAAGCACAGATTCAGTTACTGTCATTGTCCTATCTTGTTCCAAGTCTACTACCAAGATATGAACGTCATCCCTAGCTTTGAGTTACTTAATTAGGCACATAGTAATTTCCTTTAGGAAATAAGACACCTCTCTAAGAAGTGATTATCATCTGGGGAACATCCTCCTGGATCCTTACTCATATGTCCCATGTCTTAAAGAGACTTGACAAGGGCCTGAAGCTCTGTTGGTATCCATACTCACGCGCCACACTCCACCTTGAGGGACCGGACATTATCAAAACTACGCTCAGAAACATTTGGGCAGGAGCTGGTGAACTCCATCCGCTTGCCCTGGAAGTTCTCCTGATCATAGATGGTTATCTGAAATGGATTGAAATGGCACAAGAAAACGAACCAAGTGCAGCTTGTAAGAATAGGGGTACAAATTAAGAGTTTGTATTTATCCTGTAATTTTCATCACTAGCCACAGTCCAGGATATCTGATAGACTCCCTTCCAGTATAGACAGGGCAAAAAGGTTCAAATTAGTACCTCTGCTCAGTGACATATTCAGGCAAAGTTTATGATAGGAATGGTCTTTCAGGGACAATGAGAGTTCAAACGATAGACCAAGGCCTGGTGAACTGATTCCACCAAATGTTCTGCACTCATATGACCCAGAGGCCAAGATTCTGGGACTTCTAGAAGCACCCTGTAGATTATTTCTTTGCTTCTAAAGCATAAAAGGATTGTGATAAATCCTTTGTCTTTTCAACTAGAACTTGGTTCCTTATGTGGCAAGCTCCCAAAACTGTGAACTTGCTTCAGAGCTGTTCAATGAGGAAAGTGTTGTTCGGGAAGAGTGAAAAGCCTGGGATCTGCCACTTGAGCTCATGGGTAAATCCAACCTCAGACTGAGTAGGGAGCCTGGGTCCCAGGGCTTACTTGGGATCCAATGGCCAGTCTGAATTGGCCTAGGAACCAAGTACCATCTCCCACCCATCATGGAAGCCTTCCAACAGTGTCTGGGCGTTGGATGGGCCTTCCTCCTACAGAACAGTATTTTGTTGGGTAGGCACTGTCAAAGAGTAAGTACAGTCTTATAGCTACTATGCAGCAGCACCTCAGCCCTGCTTGTTGGATCTTTCCATTTTCCATGTGATTGGATCAGCTTACCTTCCATGGCCCCATGGACCCTGGCATAGGGTTGGTCTGAGCCATCTTGGTGGTTGGAAGAGTTTCTGAAAGACACATACACATCAGTGATATGGCTTTCAGGATGGGGGTAGTGAAGTCAGAAGGCGCAGGGGAAAGGAAAAGAGGCTTGAAGCCCCAGATTTTGTTTAGGATCTTAGCTCTGGTGCTAGCACCCAAACCTGTCAGGTTTTCCATCAACAAACCTTTTACATGCAGTCACTAAAAATTAGAACAGTAATGCAGATGAAAGACTGCAAAGGCATTTGGATCACTTGATAATGTATCTTCTATCCTCTTGCTTGCCCTCAAAGAACAACATTGCCTGGGTCTTATATACCCTGATGTCAACTCCTTTATAACTGTCCAGTCTCCATGTATCTAGTCATTCAGGCAGCAGGGTCAGAATTCCTCACTGTACCTGCCCCAATTAAAAGGCAGCCTATATTTGAATCCTTCATGGTCTTCCCAGCCCCCATATTGACCCATTATTCTGCATGTCTATGTCACCAGCCCCTCTTCCTCTCTGTCTCCTAGATCTGTTTTGACCTTGTTCTTTTCCAGCCCGCAGATTTTGACTTCTCCCTCACTTCCCAAAACTCCTCACAGTACTCATCTGTGCCACTATTGACTATATACTGGGTGATCATCTCAATAGTAGGACTGGCAATTCCTGGTTGATTGATAGAACACCTTTCCAACCCTGTGGCTAAATGGGGCAGAGGGTAATTTGAAAAATATTGAAGTCAAGCTTGGTGGTGCAGACCTGCTACGTGAGATGGTAGGTAGGAGGATTGCAAGTTCAAGACCTACTTGGACAATTTAGTGAGGCTGTCCCAAAATAAAAAGTAAGGGCTATGAGTTCCAGGCTAGCTAGGGCTACATATTGAGACCAATTCTTAAAGTGGGTGGGATGGGGTAGAGGGTAGGAGCAGGGGCTGGAGATATAGATCAGTACTAGCGTGTTTGGCCAGCATATATGAACCATTAGACTCAGTCCCTAGTCGTAGTAGTAGTGGTGG